AAAAATTACTGTCACTGTCCACACAAGAGTGTGGGAGGAGTCACTGAGTTCTGCATGTTCAAAAGACTGCCCTGTCTGCTCTGCACCTGTGGTAGGAAGAAATGGGCACAATCACTGCAGGCTCCTCCCAAACACTTCTGTCTCAGCTTATTGATGCCTAGAACCTAAAATGTAGGTAGAATTAGGACTGGTGGCTCACTTCCTTCTAGAATATCTTCAGAACAGTTCCACTGTGCCATAGCTTTTCTTTCCCTAAGTTACCTCTCTCTTCTAGACCTGCCCTTGTCCCCAGATCCAACCCCTTAGGGTCTGAGCAATGCCTGCTGAGTCCTGCTCCTTACTGTCCAGCACCATGCCCTCAGGAGCGCTGACCACCACAGATTCACCCCTCTTCTCCCATCTCTTCCCTGAATACTCCCTTCCCCTTCCAAGTAGCCCCAAGGATGCTTCTTCCTCACACCTGCAGCACACAGCACACCTGCAGCAAAATGCTGACCACCTGTGTGACTCAGACTGCTGTGAGACTGGGCAGAAGTAGGACGTATGGTAAGGGCACTCTGGACATGGAGAGGATGTGCTATTGTAAAAGCCTCTGCTGCAGCTCAGGTACAAGACCACTCCTTCAAGCAATGATTAGCACGGAGCTTAGAGTCTGCCAGAGATGAGACCTGACGGTAACCTCCACACAGAAAGGAATCATGAGAGAAGCAATTGCTTCCATGCCCAGGCATCAAGACTGGACTGTTAAAAGTAAAAAGGTATAGGAATGCAAAGGGAGTAAAAGGAAGATAGGAGTTAATGAAAACTAGAGAAAGGTGCTCTGGAGAATTGGTCGGAGCAAACTCAATTATTCTGATTTTAGCTGGAAACAACGCGCATTTGCTGGTGAAGCCAGAGGAATCTTTAGCACGTCGTAAAGAAGGATAAAAAGTAAAGGTAACTTGCTGCACATCAGGTGCGTCTCCTAAGGAATGAAATTCAGGCAGATTAACTCATGTTTACAGATATGCTGACGGAGCTATCATTGGTGATAAGGAAAGAAACAACGTCTTGGCTCAGTGGTGCCATCGCAGAGGCTGACTGATGTTTTCATTTGTTTGGCTCTTTGCATTTCAGGCCTAATTTGTAGCTGTTGATTTCTATGGTGTAAATGCTCCCAACTAGGGATAATTTCAAACCCATAACAAAACATCCTGACACAATTCCTGTGTAGAGCTGTTGAGTGCCACAGGCTCCAAAAGTCAGAGCAATCTGGATCTGAGTTAAGAAGTAGAGGACAATGCAGCCACTTTTGATGAGAACTGATAGACTAAGATCAGAAAGAAGAGGAGAGCCTCCCCTATCAGTGGACTTGGGGAGTGGCATGCATGCAGAAAGGGGAGGGAGGGTGGGATCGGCAGGAGAGGAGGGAGGGGCTTATGGGGGATACAAAATAAATAAAGTGTAATTAATAAAAAATTAAAAAAAAAAAGAATTCCTGTCTGGACAAGGGCCCACACAAGCAGTTTCTTTTCTGAGAGTCCTCCAGGAAAGTCTCTGCAGGAAGGTTTAAAAGCAGCAGCTTTACAACAGAGCTTACCAGCTTCCAGCCACACACACATCTCACCTGAGGGTCTCAGTAAAATGCTCATTCAGCAGGTACCTGGGGTCACTAAGAAGGCAGATATGCCTCTTAGTTCTTGGTCAATTTGGCACAAGCTAAAGTGGTCTGGGAGTACGAAACCTTGATTAAGAAATTGATTCCATCGGACTGCCTGCAGGCGAGTCTGAAGGGCAGTTTCTTGATTAATGGTTACTGTGAGGGCTCAACCCATTGTGGGCAGAGCCTCTCCTGAGAAGATGTTCTTAGGTGGTATAAGCAAGCAGAGAAAGCAAGCGTACTACTGCACAAACAGTATTCCTCTATGTCCTCTGCTTCAGTCCCTTCCGACAAGATTCTGCCTTGAGTTCTTGTCCTGACTTCCCTTTACCAGGGATCATGATCCAGATGTGGAAGACAAATGAACCCTTTCCCCTCCAAGTTGCATTTGGTCATGGAAAGGAAACTAGGACAGGAGAGAAGCGAACTACAAGGAAAGGCAGTCATTCACAGACATCCCACTGCTGTCAAAACGTTTAGGAGAGAAATGTTTAGAAAAGTCCGGGAACATAAAGCTTGTGGGTTATGTATGACCAAGACTAAACAGATGCTTTATTTTACTCTTTAAATATGAGTTAGATGGCAGTATCATTTAAAAAAAAATCTATGTTCATGGCTTCTCTTAGGGAAGGAGAGAGGAAGAGAAATGGAAATAGTGATCACACCAGAAGATGTGGCAGCCCTGCCCCCAGCTCTGGAGGAGGCTATATTGCCCTTCCAGGGGGCAGCCCCTCTCTCTCTCTCTCTCTTTCTCTCTCTCTCTCTCTCTCTCTCTGTCACTGTCTGACCCACTTTATCGCTGGAGGCATTTTAGCGGTATTCTTATTTTACAATTTCATATAACATTTTCCTCCTCAGTTACAATAGCCTTCTTTTCCTATGCCCTGCCATTCCCCACACACCACCTGCGTATTCCTGAAACACCTGCCACGGTGTTCTTAAAGCATCAGACCTTCCTCTCCCCAGATTGTGAGCTGATCGTGCTCCTGCGGCATAGCCCATCCTCCTCTGTGGAAGATGACCTGAATCATCCTTCAAGACCCAGCTCGGGCACCGTAGTCCACCAAAGTCCCCTCAGCTCTCCCATGGTCCAAGAGCAGACTAGAGCTTCTTCTAAATATTAAACACCATCTTGGCTTGCTTGGGGTATATTCTATTCCCAGAGGCCCCACAAGGGTGTAGATATACTTTATTTGTTTGTATGATCTCAAGGAAAAAACAGTTTGCCATACAATGGATTCTCTATCACTTTATCAAATGAGTAAAATAAGAATTAATTTTTAGCTCTCATTAAGCTCAGTTTGTCATTTGTTAATTTATCAAAAGAATTTTGCAATACTATCCTAACTTATAGTATGCAAGTTACTTCTCTTCCCATCTTCTCTTGTCCAGTCTCTCTGTAGACATTTCTACTTTTATTAAGCTTTGTTGTTGGTCACTCAATATATGGAACATTATTTATTCTGTAAGTCTTGTCCTAGATAAATAAGGAGATTCCACCTACAATTAAACACTTCCTAACACCTTGTACTTCCATGACATGACCACTTTATTGTTTTGTTTCTGGTTTTGAGACATAATTTCAACATGCTGCACAAGCTGGCCAGGAACTTAAAGGCCAGCAACTTAAGAGGCCAGGAACTGGCCTCTCTACCCCCCTCAGTACTCAAATTAGAGGTTTGTCCTACCATACTTGGGACAATAATCTTTTCCAAACCACTTTTGCAACATACTTTACTCTTACACCATCTCTATAAAATAAAGAACAACGTATGACCCTTGATTAAGAGTTGGGAGCTAGAGTGACATATCTTCCCCAGAGAAGAAAGAAAGAGAGGCAGAAGGCTTGAGAGAATCCTCAGCCTCCCTGAGGTGACTCAGGGAAGATCTGTGACCTGCCTGAGCATCATCCCTCAACATGGTGAGAAAATCTGCCTCGTTCTATTTGCAAACTTCTCCAGATTTTAACACGCTATTTAAAAACTGAGACCCAGGCATGCTCAGTTAGCCCATGATAGAGCCAAAGTAGTAAACCTGGTCCTTCCATGGCCAGCAAAGATTCCCTCCTCGTGCTCACTGTCACAGTGATGATAAAACCACCCAGGAGATAAAAATATATTTCTAAACACATACGTGAGCAGGGAAAGTAGCAACTCTATGACTTCTCCTCCAAAAGCAAGTTCTATTTGATAATGCAGAATGCTCCCAATGATTTGATGGAGTTAGCTGTAACTGGTAACCCTAAAATGCCCAAATGCAATTATTTTATCAGAGAATACAAAAAGTTTCTACTTTATAATCAGTGTACAATCATCTATACTCCGGATCACTTTCAAGTCCATGCTATGCACTCAATATTTGACACTTTTTAGAAAATACATCACAGATGAAATGACAGTGAGCAATTTAGTATCCTTATCTCCAATAATTAATGCAGCTCAAGTTTATGGAAACCGCCAATGTTGAAAGTACTAACTGGTAATCCCCCAGTGGTAGGTAAGGTGGGATTTTAAAAACCGCCTCCATGTGTTTAAAGAAATTAGCCTAGGGGCAGAACCGGCAGAGTGAGAAAGCATAATAATCCATTTCTCATACATTTACAACCACTTTCTAAGAATTTCAGCACACCCACCATATATAGAACCCACGTTAGCAGGAGTACTCCTGCCTAAGGTCCCCTGGAAGCCGGGGAGGTGGGGGGAGAACATTGCTGAAGCTCTTTGGAGGCCCCGGGAACCCAGTGTCCTGAGGTTTTTCCATTCCACCCACTGCTTCTCTCCTAGACTCCAGTCTTGGTGATTTCTTTGCCATTTCTACCCCTTGTTCTAATGAAGGGCATTTTTTCCTGTCCTTTAGAAGTGAAGAGGGGACATGCCTACTAAAAAGAACTAAACCAAGACAGTTTTTTTTTTCTCTAGTGTATATTTGTTGTGAAAGATTTTAAGTCTGCGTATTAGCGAATATCTGCAAAAACCTGTCTGGGAGCCACATGAGCAACTGGGAAGGAAGCCTGGAAGTTGGGGAAAGGAGTGAAAAATCTTACCTTAGTGGTTTTTTTTTTTTTTTTAATTATTCTAAAATTGTAATGTAAATTAAATGTGGGGGGGGGACCTTGTAATTATGAGAAGGAGCAGAAATGAGTGAGGAATCACCCCTGCCCAGGACTGTACTTCATCCTTACCGCAACCAATATATCTGCGGGACAAAGAGGGGTGCTGGCCCCAAGCAGAAGCGGAAAAGGAAATAAAACAAAGAAACAAACGCCCAAGTCCTGCAGAGAAGTTCCAAGAATTCAGCGGTTCTCTTGATGGAGAAACAAAAGGAGACCAGAAAGCAGGATGCCCAGCAGGGACCTCCTTACCCCCCAGCCAGGTGTCCGAGACGTTCTGGAGCATGGTGACCGGGATGCAGAAGAAGACGATGAGCAGGTCGCTGAGCGCCAGGGAGCAGATGAAGATGTTGGTGACGGTGCGCATGGCCTTGCTGCGGGTCACCACGTAGACCACCAGGGCGTTGCCGAAGAGCGCCAGGGCGAAGATGAGTAAGCCGGCGAGCAGGAGGGCCAGCCTGGCGCGCGCGGGCAGCTGCGGGGTGAGCACCAGTGGCCGCAGCCCGTAGCGCGCGATGAACTGCGCGCGTGTCAGGTTGTGCAGCCGCAGCAGCTCCGAGAGCTGCTCCGCGGTCAAGTTCCACGGCATGCCGGGCTCCGGAGTCGCCGCGGCCGCCCGTGGAGCCGCCCGAGGCCGAGGAGGCGCGGGAGAGAAGCCGCGCCTCGGTGCCAGCCAGCCGCGAGAGAGGCTAGCAGCGACCAAAGTCAGAGCCACTGGCCAAACTGTTTGCAGTTCTGAGAAAGTTCCCAGCCGGGCGCTGCGATCCTCGGAAGCCTCGCTGCACCGCCTGAGGCTCAGTGCCCAGTTTTCTGGACTCTAAAAGAGATGAACCCCGCCCCTCCGCGCACTCCCCAGCCCCTGGAGGGCCGCCTCCGCCTCCGCAGTAAAGCACCCAGCATCTCCTGCCTGGGCAGGAGACACCCAGCGCCCTGCTGCCCCAGCCCAGGCTTATGATGCTAAAATGAAAACTGCTGTTGAGTTTATGAAGGGCTTCATGGTTTTCCTCTTGTGAAATCATGTATGGGCCATAACTACCCATGGCAAAATGGGAATTAAGCATTTTCTGCATGGAAATAATAATTACAGAAAAAAGTTGCCGTCATAAAAAGAGGGTATCACACAAAGACGTAGTTTTCTCTGTTGTGTCTTAACTATGTACGATGCAGTACAAACCCAGAAATGTGACATAGATATGCTGTGTGTGTGTGTGTGTGTGTGTGTAACAAACACAGGAGGATTGAGATGGAAAGGAAACAGACAGACAGACAGTGACTATGTCCTGATTCCAGGACCAGACCTGGCACCTGAAAACTCCGTCACCATCCAGACCACACTCTGGACTTCTGCGTGATCACACTCTACCCTCCATCAGCTCTAACCTCTAGCCATCTCTGCGTGTCTGTCAAGAGTGTAACATCAACAGAATCAGACAACATATACTTTTTGTGTGTCTGTCTGATCTTCTCCCCCTTGACACAACAATTTGTAAATCTACCCAAGTTGTGAGGTGTATTGCTGATATGGACTGCTTTACTTAATCGTTTCCTTACTGTAGAACAGTTGGGGTGTCTCTGGCTTTGGCCTATTACTAATGAAACTGCTATAAAGAACACAAACTACTTTGTATGGATATAGTTTGCACTTCTGTTATCGGAAACACCAAGAAGTTTGTTTGTCGGCGATATTGTCCTGACTGTTTTATTTTGTTTGTCTGTTTGTTTTATCAGTTTGACACAAAGTAGGGTTATCAGAGAAGAAGAAACTGGTAAAGAAAATGCCTCCATCAGTTGGCCTACAGGCAAGTCTGGGGAATATTGTCTTGATTAATGAGTGATGTGGGAGGGCCCAGCTCTCGGTGGGCAGTGCCACCACAGACAGATAAGTCTGGGGGTACAAGGAATCAGGCTGAGCAAGCCGTGAGAGAGTAGGCCAGGAAGCAGCCCTGTACCGTTCCCTTGTATCAGTTCCTGCCTTCAGTTTCCTGCCTTGAGTTCCTGCCCTGACTTCCCTTAGTGATTCGGGGTAACCTGAGAGTTGTAAACCAAAATAAACCTTCTCTCCAAGTTGCTTTTGGTCACAATGGTTTATATCTTTTGGGGTGTACCAGTGAAATTGGAGTCACCACTTGGGGTTCTTAGTCTCATGCAAAGAATTTTAGAAGAGACAAAAAAGGAAGTTCTGGTCTTCATAGTTTAAAAGAAAATCCTTAATATGATTGTAACACACACACAAACACCTGCCACCACAAAGCAGCATTTAGATTTCCTAAAATACTTTAGAAAGTGGACCCAAAGCTGGGGAGGATATAACCTATTTTGCCATGAAAATCTATAGATCTAGTTCCAAGGTTTCAGTAGAAGCTTCGGTGTCTGGACTGCTATTCTGGTCCCCACCCTCACTCACACAGAGCCTCCAGGGGTGCTTATCCAGAAGATAAAGACCCAGAGCTCCTGGCTGGCTTTGCTCACTAGAAAACCAAGGACATCTCTGACAGTGCTGCTTTTGGGTCCCTGCACTAACATCTGTGTCTGGTTTTCATGTCCTGCTTTCATCCTTCTCCCCTCAGACCATAACTGCCATTTAAGAAACTGGAATGTTGACTTATCTTGCTTCTTAGAGCTGACTGGAGCACTTGGGTGTTTAAGTTGGGGTACCCCTACAATGGGACTATATAGAGGACCAAAGTGCATCAGTACCTGTATGTATTACATTACTTATACATAACTCATCAGTCTGCTGGTGTCAGAGTTCCAATTTGAGCCAACTGTGCCAATCTCACTTTACCTCTTAAGTATTTCTCTACAGCCATTTAGAACGACCTGCTATTGCAGTGATTTTATCTTCGCCTGTTAAATTCTATACCCTTAAGAGGAAATGGAAAATGTATTGAATTTATCTCCATTCTTCTTACTTTTTACTATTCCTTCTTGTTATGCCAGGATTTCCTACTAAATAAGTCTTTTCCTTTTAAAAATCCACAAACACACACACACAATGCAGGTACATGTGCACACACACACACACACACACACACACACACACACACCCCTACACACGCAATGTACACCTGCATGCCCACACATGCAGCACACACATGCAAGCAAACATGAACACACACACACTTATGCATGCATACATGCACACATGTGCACACACAAATACAAAAACACATGTGTTGTAGAAAAGGACCTTAGACTCTTGAGGACTTCTCTTCCCCAGCTAGTTCCCAAATAACTGACACAGAGACCTTTTAAACTTGTAAAGGCTTTAAGGCACAGTAGCTGGGCAGTTATCAACCTTCTAAGCTATTTTGATGTTTCCCAGCTACACATCCCAAGTTACTTGCCGTAATAGTTTCTGTCTGGTTCGCTTCTGCTCCATGAGTGTGACCTTGTGGACATGGGCTCACACTCCTCGCTGTCCCACGGTCACTTCTTTCTCTCCGCTTCCTCTCCTCCTGCTACATCTTCTGCCTCCTCTCTTCTCTCCTGGCCTCAGGGTCCCTCTGAGACTCCAAGTTCAGGAACTTAAACCCCACCTACCTCTCTTTTGCCCAGTCATCAGCTTTTAGCGTCTTTTTTTTTTTAATTAATTTATTTCTTTATTCACTTTACATCTCGATTGTAGCAATTTACCAACTTTGAGTTAGGTAGAGCAAAGCTTACACAACATAGACAGGTGTATGTCCGAAAGTGCTCATCTGGGAGGCAATGAGATCTGGGGAGGGGCAATAATTAAAAATTAAATACATTAGCAGCACCTGACCAACCCCCAACCCACGTATATACACATACACCCAGACACACAAACACACTCGAAAACACACAAGGGAGATCAGAGGACAACTTTCAAGAGTCCATTCACTCCTTGTGGGTCCATCATGTGGAATCTGAGGATCAAATCAGGTCATTGGGCCATTGATTTTTTCCCCTCCACCCACCATGAGCTGTGCTCTCGGCCCTAGGTAATTCTTTTTTTATTATTATTTTCTTTTTGTTGAGGAGACATTACTGCGCTGTCAATTATAAGAAGGATAAAATCAAAATCCCTTTGTTTCTAGTTACTAAGAAATACCCCAATTTCCTCCTTTGTTTCTGAAGGACATTTTCTGTGGATATGTCTAGGCTGGAAAGTCTTTAATTTTTTTTCCTAGCATTTGAAAAAGACTTTCTTACTTTATTCTACTTTCTGTCGTCTCTAAGGTGAAGCCTATTGTTACTTGGATTATTTCTTCCTACAATCATGTCTGGCTGTTATTTTAAGACTTGATTGGTTTTGTCTTTCAGACGTTTTTCAGGTGTTATAAGACCTGGGGTGATAGTCTGTGCTCCAACAAGGCAGGTTCAACCATCTGTCCTAGATAAGACAATAAGTGATCCAAATTATAGTGAAAAGCAGAAAACTATTTATTCAGTGGGATCCAATTGGGAAGAAGGAAAATGAGGTCCCAGTCTGTGCTCAAGGGCCTGACGTGATGCTGAAGACAGACTAGTGCATGTCCAAGCAGCCTCTAGCCCAGGTGGGGTCCTGCTCACCACTGATCATCATTGTCTCTTGGAGAAGGTGGTCATCAAGTTGTCACTCTGACTATCCCAGGATTTTGGTTTTCTCATACTCCAGCATGAGAATGCTGGGGGAATCCTAGCTTCTTAAGGCTCATTGTTTCAGTAATCTGACAGCCAGATTGAGGGACACAAGCGTCTCTGTAAAATATCTCCATCCCTGGCCATGTCAGTTACAAAACCAGGATGTGTGTCTTCATACTGACTCTTAGGTTAGCTTATTTGGGGCTTCTTGAGCCTCTTTAATTCAGAACGTCCTATCTTTTACTATATCTGGGTCATTTTAGCCTTTATTTCTTCGTATTCTTTAATTTTTAAAGAATTGTTGATTTTGTTTTATGTGTATGAATGTTTTGCCTGTGTGTGTGTGTATGAACCATTTAAGTGCCTAGTGCCCATGGAGGTCAGAAGAGGGCGTAGGATACGCTGATACTGGAGTTAGAGATGACTGAGAACCACCAAGTGGGTGCTGGCAAACCAAATCCTGGTCCTCTGCAAGAGCAACAAATCTTCTTAATAGCTGAGCTACATCTCCAGCCTGCCCTGTTGCTTTTTCAGCCCTGCTTTCTTTCTCCTCCTCTTTTGGACTTTGATTGCTAGAGGGCCACGGTTTTTCTCTCATTTCTTATCTTCTTGAAGGAGAGAATCCAGTGGAGAGACAGACACAATAAGCAGAAGTTCATTCAGCAGAGTGACAATGCGCTCCAGGCAGCTGAGCCAGCATAGGGAACAGTGAGAACTCTCTGGAGCTCATTGATAAAAGAGAGTTTTTAATGAATATTTATGAGTTGACTTATTCACAGGAGTAAGGCGCTCCCTGATCATGGATTAGTTCCCCCTTCTAGAGTACTTCCCCCAAGATCTCACTTGAAATGCTCAGTACTCACAAATGCAATTCTAAATAAAGCTTAGCAACGGGTATGGTAGAGCTCACCATTGAGTCCAGCACAGAGGCAGAGGTTGGAGGATCTCTGAGTTCAAGTTCAGCCTGGTCTACCAAGCGAGTTCCAGGACAGCCAGGGCTAC